GCTTTCAGCTTCATTCTAGGGGAAAGGCCACTCCAGCATTTTCTCAATGGTGTACTGTTGTAGCTGGTTCATTCAGAGTTTTTGAAAACATAGGGATTAAGACATTTATGAAAAAATTTGAACCATGGTTAATCATTCACTTAATATACATTCGCTAGCTGGGAAATATGTGGTAGATAGTAAGTCATATGACAATGTTTCTAGTTCTTTGCATTTGTCTATTGATGGAATATATTTGTTTAGCATGCATATTTTTTGTTTAGTGTACATTTGTTTATGACTGAATAGATGAATGACATGCCCCTTATTTCACTTCTCTGGGTCTCCCTGGCTGGAGCCCTTGTTTCTCTGATTAGTACAATATTGAAAACCATGTGTGCACTCACTGCTTCAGCACAGTGCTCAGTGTTACACATTGTTACCTCATGTAATTTTCACAATAACTGACAGTGGTATGTGTTATTGTCATTCTCATTTTTTGCAATTTGGAGAACTGAGGCCACTTGGTTAAATACCACATGAGCCCAGGGGCTATGCTCCGTTCACAGAAGCAGCACATTGCAGGAAGCTGGGCAGTGGTTTGATTTGTAAGTAGATCTGAAACAAAGCAGGGTAATTTTTGCTGACATTAACCCACAGTTTCCTCATTCCTGCTCCTATTTATTGGCTCAGTGATTTCTTGTCTTGGGCAGGTTCAATGCAGGGCAGGGCCATAGAAAGGCCAGTTCTCCCACTGGCTGACATATGCAGCTTGATACATTCCCAACTCATAGCAGATTTTTAGGCAAAAGGGTTGTAATCATCATTTTTGTTAAGCAGTTGACAGAGAGATTACTTGGAAATTATAATACTATAAAAACTCAACTATAGATGCTAAAATATTTTCATTTCTTCCCCCAACCCAGTTATTTCAAGTGGATGAAAACCTATTTTAAAAAATATGAATGTTGCAAAGATAAAATCAAGTGACCCATCTGAACTATTACCAATAAAATTAATTATTTGAATAAAATCAGTAAAAATAAAATTGAAAAATTAATACTGCAATTATGCTGAGATTAGTATCATAAATACAATATACATGCAAGTTTTGCAAATCAGGTTCTTTACTAAGTTTATTTTGATAATCCAATCTTTGTTGCTATAGTATAATGTCCTTCATATTAAAAATTAAAAATTTTTAAGTAATACAATTGGATAACCATGATTAACAGAGCTAGTGCTATTAACCATGGAAGTTCAACAACTGAAAAAAATGAAAATAGTAACATATGTGGCTAAAATCACATAGTCACGAAACCATAAAAATTCTAGAAGAAAAAGTCAGTAAAATCTCAGACATCTTGTGTAGCAATATTTTTGCTGATATATCTCCTAGGGAAAGGGAAATAAAGGAAAAAACAAATAGGACTACGTAAAACTAAAAAGCTTCTGGACAGCAAAAGAAACCATCAACAAAATGAAAAGGAACCCACAGTGTGAGAACAAATTTGTCAATGATACTTCTGATAAGGGGTTAATTTCCAAAATTTATAAAAACTTACACAACTCAACACCAGGATGACAAACAACCCAATTAAAAAATGGGCAAAGGATCTGAACAGACACTTCTCCAAAGGGGACATACAGATGGTCAATAGACACATGAAAAAATGCTCAAAATCACTAATCATCAGAGATGCAAATTAAAATGACAATGAGGTATCACCTCACACCTGCCAGAATGGCTACTATATATTTTTTTAATGTTCTGATTTTTTAAATGTAATTATTGATTTCAGAGAGAGGAAGGGAGAAGGAGAGAGAGACAAACATCAATGATGAGAGAGTCATCGATCAGCTGGCTGCCTCCTGCACGGCCCCCACTGGGGATCAAGCCCGCAACCCAGAACAAACAAGTCCTGGCGAGGGTGTGGAGAAAGGGGAACCCTAGTGCACTGCTGGTGGGAATGCAGGCTGGTGCAGCCACTATGGAAAACAGTATGGACTTTCCTCAAAAAATTAAAAATGGAGCTGCCTTTTGACCCAGTGATCCCACTTCTGGGAATATATCCTAAGGATCCCGAAACACCAATCAGAAAGAAGATATGCACCCCTATGTTCACAGTAGCGTTATTTACAATAGCCAACATCTGGAAATAGCCCAAGTGCCCATCAGTAAACGAGTGGATAAAAGCCGTGGGACATTTACTCCATGGAATACTATGTGGCTGTAAATAAATAAATAAATAAATAAATAAATAAATAAATAAATAAATAGGAACTCTTACCCTTTGCCACTTAATCCTGTCTCAAGGGCCACTTGACATTCATCTTTTATTTCAAGTGTCCCAGGCTTCTCTGTTGGTATCCCACAACACTCTGTGCTTCTGGTGTCTCTCATACTTCTCTGCTTGCTCCTTTCCCTCTTCTGGAGGCTCACACTTCTTTACCCAGTTTTGTTTTGTTTTTTTAAAATGTATCTTTATTGATTTCAGAGAGAGGAAAGGAGAGGGAGAGAGAGAGAGATAGAAACATCAATGATGAGAGAGTCATTGATCGAGCTCGCAACCGGGGCATGTGCCCTGACCTGGAATCAAACCCCGATCTCTGGATCCCAGGTCGACGTTCAACTGCTGAGCCATGCCTGGCCAGGCTCTTTACCCAGTTTTTAAAATATGGGAATTACTCAAGGTAACAGCAACACAAATAGACATATTTAAAGGTTTCCTTGATTCACTGGTTATGTCATCCAAAAGAACTGGGAAGATCAACACATCTGGTGTTGCTTACAAGGTGACAAAGAGGAAAGGAGAAAGGACCTTGGAATTCTCGTTCTGGAGAGAAGGGGTTTTGGGCAAGCTGCTTTTCTTTTTTAGACTTAATTTTCTTGTTCGTAAGATAGTACAAGTTCTAGAGAATCCACATGGACCCTTCCAGTTGTAGCATTTATTCATTATGCTGTATCTCCTTGCTTACCTATTGTCCCCCCCACCACCACCAGACTGTGAACTGTCCCAAGGAAAGTTACTTAGCCTTGATCCTTCTTTGTTTCCTGGCATTGCCCAGCACTGACCTTTGTACAGGAGGCAGCAGTGAGAGTGGGGACTGACCCTATGCCTCCTTCCTGAACATTTCCATTCTCTTACCTCCAGGCTGTTGAGGAAGAAATTGATGGAACCATGTGTTGTTGGACCTCTGCATAAAACCTCCTATGTAAATGTGACTGTTTCCTCAACATTTAACAACTTGCTTGCCGATGCCCTCAGCATTAATTGTATAAACAATATTATTCTGCACGGCAGGTATGACTTGTTGGTTGAATGTTGTCCTGTGCACCAAGAAGTCCCTGGCTTGATTCCTGGTCAGGACTCATGCCTGGGTTTTGGGCTTGATCCCCCATAGGGGCATGCAGAAGGCATCAGATCTATGTTTCTATCTCTCTCTCCCTCTCCCTTCCTCTCTAAAATCAATAAAAATGTATTTTTTAAAAATTAAATAAACAAACAAATAAATAAATAAATACCACATGATTCTGAGACACTTTTAGCTGAGGGATGGAAGAAGGCAAGAGGTGAGAGGTCTAGGGAAGAGGGAACTGAAACAAGGTGTGGCACAAAATGGAACAGTCCAGGGGCCAGTACTTGGTCCAGATGAAGTCATCACCATTGGATTCTGTCTTATCCATTAACCTGCCAAGTAAAACCTGGCTCCAGAGACTGGGGTAGGTGCTTGAGGAATGGGGGCAGTAACAGGGAAGAGAATAAGAATTTGTAACAGAGATTGGGTTTATTGTTCAGGGCTGTAAATCCAGCACCTAACCTGTGCCTATCTTAGTATAAATGCATGAATGAATAAATGAATGAATGAATGAATGAATGAATGAATTGTGGACAATGCCTACAAAGAAGGCTGGGAGTGGGGGACAGCATCTTGGAAAGCTGGGTCTGTTGGATCCTACTTCACCACCTACTGGGTAATGAAAAATTCATTACTTTCTAACTACTTTAGTACATTTACTATTATGTATGCTCTTGAGGTTATTTATGTTCCTTGTGCCCAGGGCTCACTTCATGGGCATGGAACCTGAGCAGGCCTGCAGGGCCTTCCATTCAGAAGGATGTGCTTTTGGTTTAATGCTCTGCTATTGTCATCTTGTTAATAAATTTTTAACAAGGGGCCCCACATATTCATTTTGCACCAGGGTCCACAGATTATGTTGGGGGCCCTGATTGCATCTGCATGGTGGAGCTACTATACAATGGTATGCTACTTAGCATCTCTTCCCAATTCAGGGTTCAGGGTCCTTTGTTGGCAGCTTGAAACAGGACGTGGTGGACATCAGCAAACACTGGAAATCAGGGTGAGCCCCAGTTGTAAAACATTTACCAGCGCACCACTAGACAGGCCACACTATATAAATATAGTGTTTCCCCCCAAAATGCATACCCACACTTTGAATAATTATAAAGGCAGTGTTTATTACAATACATTTTATTTTCAAAATTGAGCTATCAGCTGTTAAAGTGAGTATACATTTTTTTGGGACACCCTGTGTAATGATCATAGTCGCCCACCACCAGCCTACAGACCCCTGTGGGTTTTGGTAGAATTTCAGAGTGAAACAAAGGTCTTTTTGTATAGCACGTTACCATTTATTTGTGTCAATGAAGAAAAATGATGACCTCAACCTTGGCATTATTCCAAAACCTAAATTCAAATTTCCCTTGATTGAAAACTGCCATGCTTGAAATATGACACTCCAGGAGGGTATAAGAAACCCTGAATGAAGATTTGCACCAGTTGATAAAGGGTTAGAAGTCTGGGAACTTGCACCTGCCTCCTCTGGCCAAGTCTGAGCTGCACCTCCCATCGCTCTTCCTCCTTCCCGGGAAAGGAAGGAGCTTCTCAGAGGGCTCAGAGACGCAGTGGGCTGGGTGATCTTCCCCCAGCGCCAGGCTTCAGAAAGCTCACCCTCTCCCTGGTCCTTGGAGATCGCCGGCACTCATCAGCTCAGAGTGATGGTGTCCAGCTGGCTGTTGATGTGCTGGGCGAGGCTCTTTTACCTGGCGATCGTGTTCTTCCTGACCGTGGGGCTGCTGAAGGCCATCAAGCTCTACCTGCGGAGGCTGCAGCTGCAGCGAGATCTGCGCGACTTCTCCGGGCCATCCCCTCACTGGTTAACCGGGAACCAGCAGGTAGATGGAAGGGAGGAGTGAAGGACGATGCTGGAAGCCAGAGGGGCAGAGAGACTGCTTCCTTCCCTTCCTCCCATCCTTCCATCCTGCACAACCCTCTCTGGCCCAGCTTGTGGCTGTCCCATCTTTTTATTATTCTACACTTGCTCCCTCACAGCCCTACAGGGAAAGGGAAACACCCTGAAGCCCCTAGAGAGGAAGCGTTGGTGGCTGGGAGGGGGCTATTTCAAAAGACTGAATCTGGGAAAAGAAAGCGGGTGTAACTCAGGCCTGTCTCTGCTTCACCAATTTCTTGCATTTATGCACTGCATTTTAAAAAGCCTTCCACACGTATTGTTAAAAATAATTTTTAGAAAGTATTATCCTAAATAATATTTATCAATTGTAGGGAATGTACAAAACTGGACATAATAGTTGCCAGTGTTAGGCCATTTCAACTAGAGAAAATTAACTGTCTTTTCCTAAGATTCTTGTGAAGCAGGGAGTAGCCCCAGACAATCACTCAAAAAATATTGACTGATTTAAATTTGTAAGGTAGAGGAAGGCTGTTACCTTTTGGTCTTTCCTGTTATCTAAATCCACTCCCACCCCTGATTTCTTGTTTTATTAAAAACATAAACTATTCCCTGGCTGGGCTGAAATTGACAAAATTAACTGCAATATACAGTCCAAGCCTTCCCCCTGGAAGTTGCAGGCCTTTAATAGACTCCAGAGTTACAAAATAGGTACATCAGACAAATTTTGCCAGGGCAGTGGTTGTCTAGGTGGGGAGACAGATTACTGGTGCTTCCTAGTCTCCTATCTTTCCAGAATTCTCCCACCTATTTGATTGTTAATCCTTATTATGTGACCCTTTTCTCTCCCTCTCTCTAACAGCTTTAAAATCTTCACTTTGCCTTTGGTGTTCTGAAATTTAATTATGATATACTTAGGTGTGGCACTTAGGTTGTTTTGTTTGTTTGTTTGTTTTTTCAGTTATTATCCCTGATGCTTTGGTCAGCAATCTTTTTGATCTGGAAACTCATATTCATCAGTTCTGAGAAATTTTTATGTGTAATGTTTGTCTTAGTTTAGATTTTCCCAGAATAAGATTCTAAGACAAGGATTCAAGAGCAAGTATTTTATTTTGGAGATTATGCCAGGAAACTTTGATAGAGGGTTTGGCAGGTAAGATGGAGATGAGAAGGCAGTCAACATAATGTTGATTCTCAAGCAAGTTACCTCTGTGGATAACTGTAGCTTAATCTAACAGGCAAACTCTGGTAGCCAGTGTATGTAACTCAGAGTTATCCTGCCTGAAGAGTAAGGGAACTGGGGCATTTTTAGATTAACTCCTGACAGTCATTGGTGAAAGATTGATCCTAGGGGGTGTTAAATTTCCAGCACTTCTAAACTGTTGTGCAGACAGCAAAGCAGGCTCCAGTAGCCAAGGACAACACTTAGGTTAATAAATAGAGATTCTGGTTATGGTATGCATTAAAGTGGTAAGGTTGAAGGGGTAGGGATAGGACAGTAACAGTGCATACTACAATTTTTTTGATACTTCCTCCCCATCACCCTCTCAAATTTTCTCTCTTTCTGGAACTCCTGTTGGTTGAATATGAGCCTCCTGGATTGAGCCTCTATTAATTTTATATATATATATACACACACACACACACACACACACACACATACACACA